TCATTCCTCCGCTTACGTGGTCACCAGGGCAGCGCCAGACTGATGTAGACCTCCTGCTGACACAGTAGGGGTATTTGGCGCTTGATTGCTATGACCTCTGCAAATCTTAGCAGCCGTCCATTCGGGGTTGTGTAAGCAATCCGAAACGAAGTCCCACGATCAGCTTGGTGGCCAGTCTGAAGCAGATGGCTAGCAGTTGATGACGCAGGTGCTCTGTGAGACCGGTTTGATGGCCTGGTTGCTTGTGTGGCGTTCAATCTCACCCGCTCGCGTTCGACCCACAGCGNTTCTGCTCACGTAGGTAGCTCCGCACCCACATTGAAATTCATAGATTACATGGGATTTGGCGGACAGAAGGAGCGGTGATTTCACCAAGGGTTTCAGAATCTGGGTTGTTGAGAAGCGAACGGCCGGATTTACAGCAAAATACGTGCGAACTACAGTCGCCATCAGTCGTCTTCGTAGGAGTTGTCCTACATTATCACCTTTGAAAGGGAGTTGGTACGATCATCTCCGAGGGTCTGGGTTCGGCATTTTCGCTGTACAATTGTATAATCTTTGCTGAAGCCATTGAGTTTCGGAGCTTCCGTGAGCTGAATTAACTTAATTTCCACGTTATCTGAATGTATGGATTGCCAAAAGTGTATAAACCTGGTCTTTGAAAAGACCAGTGAAACGAAGAATTCTTTTCGATTACTCATTCTCAAGCTTCTACATTAATATATGATCACAGGATGGCAGCAAAAGTCATGATTTATAAAATAAACCAGGGGGGAGGGGGACGGTTTCAGGGTTCTAATCACTTATCTACGCAGATTACGTAACACGGTCATTCAGTCCTCATTTGAAGTGGTACTATGACGCTAGTGGGTAGTACCAAGTACACGAACTTGTTCCAAGCAGTAAATTCTGCCACTAAAATTTACCATACCGTCTCAGTTTATCGCCTACATTGTCCTAACCAAGCAGCTTGTAAGACACTCCGCCTGCACATGCGTATGTGACCTATTCTTGATGATTGCAGATCTTCAAACCTTATCTATGTTTGTGCTTCATTTCAACCATGGCGTTTTGTTCGGTTTCCTTCTCAAGCTATTTACTAACAGAACGAGTACGGTATACCGTATTCACGCTGCGTTCCGCGCAAAACTTGTTTCACAAACTGTGTTATCAGTGTGCTGCCACTTAGCGTGAACTCCCTGTTCTGCAGTCTTTTGCTGACTCGTTTACGAACTCATTAAACAACCACACTCAACAAGTAAAGATTAAACTGATTGGTTATTTTTTCAATATCTGAACTAATAATATCTTTATATGGTGTTTTTCTCTCTGGCCCCGTGCAGCTATCTCTTCTCACTCTCCGGTGCATTAGTGATTTTGAATGTGGTCCCGTGCTATGCCCTCGACGGTCAGTGGATCCTCAAGGCGCTGATCGATTTGTGCTTGACAAGCTATGTTCCGTGTCGACGCAAGCGGCAACTGGTGTTTCGATGTGTTCTTTTTCTCGGCAGCGTTTTGCTCTGCGCCAACCTGGCTCTTGCATTGGCCTACTTCATTTTGGATGTGGACATCACCGGTTGGCGTTCTACTTCCCTGGCAGCTCCGGAGCAGTCGCCTTTGCCCGGTTAGAACTCAAGCGCATTGCTATTGGCATCAACCTGCTCACGGTTGAGCACAATGCTTTTCTACTTACACATTTCAAATAATACTTGAGAACCAAAACCAACAAAAAAAGATGAATTGAAAAAAAAATGAAAGATCGGCTCCGTCTAATAAAACAACGCGACAGCTGTGATCATTGACTCTCTGCCACCAGCCTTCTCTTTGCCACCACTTGCAATTTCCTGCTGCGATATGAACCGATCTAACTTGAGCAACCAACAATGTGCCTTTGTGAGATTATTTTACTGAACTTCGTTATGATCACTAAACCATGTTTTCTTTTCCCTTCCTTCTCCGCCTTCGGATTCTTTCGTGAATTCGTATCACCCGGTCGCCGTGTTCCCCTTTTTCCCTTCCCATTTGTTCCCTTTGGTTTGGGTCTTTCTGAATCGCGGCGACGTGACTACCAGACGATGAGTTGTTTCCGCAACCCATTCATGTTTGTCTTTGTTTTCTATACTTCGCATATGGCTACTTGGTCTTTCTCGTGGGCGATTGTGCTCGCGTGTTTTGTCTTTGTACCGGCCACAAAAGGGAGGAGCTCTAATGCTATCCGTTCAATAAACACACGTGTGTCAAAAGTGTTTTTCATTTTGGATGCCTCATGGAATGCTTTAACCATTTCGTAGCCTTCTTTGTGACAGCGTTCAACAGGCGAGAGTTGCGATGCGTTTCGACTGAACGTCACCGTCCGGAGATGACTATGCTAATCAAAGTGTAATGCGGTTTAGATCTAATACAACTCCAAGCGTTCAATTATCCGGGTTCTTGTATTTTCAATGCGCTCCAAACACTGATTCATTCATGTGAAACAAGGTTATTGTATGCTATCAGATCGTGCACTAATTGACGTCATCGTAAACTGCTGGTCAATTTAAACTTTCATTTGGTGCTAATGGAATGTCGAAGCAACTAACTGGTAACAGGGAAAACTAACGAGATGTATTGGACAAAGTTTTATTTTGTTACAATGAGAGTGGACGTGTGAACTGATTTTCCATAAGCGTGGCTTATTAATTGTTACTTCCAGAGAACAGAGTGGTTAAAGGAACACGTCAGTAATAGCGAAGAGCCTACGAGGATCCACACCCGGAAACGGCGGCATACTTTCTTTTGAGAACGCACGTTTGAGTTGATTCGAACTACGTGGTAAGCCTAAAAAATTCTCGTTCACCGACAAGGCTCGCAAGGCGTTCGCCGAACTGAAGCAAATCATTTCCAATATCGCCGCAGGTTTATATGACATGCCGGACGCACCTTTGGCGCTCACCGTGAACGCATCCAACGTAGCCGCAGGTGCGGTATTGCAGCAACGTGAATGCGTAGAGTAGCAACCGTTAGCATTCTTCTCGAAACGTTTACAACCGGCTGGGTCTCGTTACAGCACGTTCGGCCGCGAACTCCTAGCCATCTACCTAAATATCCGTCACACGCTAGAAGGTCGCCGTTTCACCACTCATGCTCGCAGCACGGGCAAATTGGGACAGATATTCTCCTAGAAAGTCACACCACTTAAGTTATGTCACCCAGTTTACTGAGAATATAAGACATATCAGAAGCGCTCAACCCCGTCGTCGATGCACTTTCACGTATCCACCTCATCTCGGAAAACATCGACCATAGACAACTCACGGCTTTACCAGCAGCCGACCCAGAAATGGAAACTCTCGAAAGCATCACTCCCCTTCAACTCCAAGAGGTATCATTAAGTACGTCCGAGGGCACCATACTTTGCGACGTGCCTACGGACACGCCACGCCCAGTAGTGCCACACACGTACAGAAAAAAGGTTTTCACTGTTTTACACAACTTAAGCTTATGGCAGAGCTGTAGTGACTAAGATTTTACGAAGAAAAGGAGCAATCCACGAGGACGTTTTCCGTTCACATTTTCTTCACAATCTACTCTGACTCCAACTGCGATATTTCTTTGTTTTACCGAGCACGGTTTTCCGCTCAGGTGTATATATAGGCTGTGTCCTGTTCAAACCCACGCTTTCGCTTTGCTACCGCATTTATTGCTTGCATTGTTTAGCGTCACCTCGGCACGTTTCGGTACTATCTAGTACCACGATAAACGTTTACGGTCCCCAAGAGTGTTTTTGTCTACCTCGCCCAACGAGACACTAGGAGGTCGCGCGCATTTTGAGACTCGTAAGAAGACTTACCGGCTGGCCGTCAACTCTNCTCTGGTTAGCTTCAGAGCGTTTCGTTTGGCCTAAGATGAACCGCAATGTCGCTTAATGGGCACGTTCCTGCTTAGAGTGTCTATGCTGTATGATCTTACGTCACACAAAGACGCCTTTAGGTACCTTCGATACTCCAACCACCCGATTCCAGCATATCCGCATCGATTTAGTAGGGTCACTACCACCGTGAGGAGGTTTCACATACCTACTGACTTGCTTTGACCATTTCTCCCGCTGGCCAGAGATACTCTCACTCCTTAATTGCTCATTTGATACGTCTACGTACCGTTGTAGTAACATTCTTTTCACTTTCTAACGCCATTCCCTTGATCAATGTAAAGACTCTATTTTGTTTTATTGTCCTCCTTTTCGAGAACTCTTATGACCTCGACCCTGGCACAATTTCCGGTGAGTTGTATCGTGCGCTTGCTCTCTGTACATTTTCCGCTGCGGGTCACATACACGCTAAACGCTCGTATCCAACTTCCATTTCAATTCGTCCTCGCCTTGGGAAACCGCGTAATAAGCCCGATCAAAAGAATACGTAGATGCGTCGTAGCTTCAGCGCAGACTTGTCGTGCTAAAATGGTGAGCTCATATTTTTTTTAACCCGTTTTTTTCAGCCCCCAACGGCTGAAGTTTTTCAGTGAGTCTGTTGCCCCGCACAAACATTTTGATTTTTCGTATTTCAGCATATAGGGCTATTATTTATTTTACTTTTCTTCGACGATTTCATTCAATTTACTATTTTTATTTTCGGCGTATTTATTTTCGTCCTCCCATTACTACGTCTCTCGGTTTTTGCGGTTTGTAACCATTTATATAGTCGAGAGTTATTTTACTTATTCGTTTCTTGTGCACCAGTACTCTAAGATCTACTTTTATTCGGGCTTAATATTATTTATTTATTTATTTTTCCTAATTCGCATCCTTGTTCATAATGTTTAGGCCATACACTGAGGGAAAAATAGCACAGTACTAGCGCACCAGTGAACGAATCGAGCGTATCGGGCCTACATGCCCGGCTGACAGAGTTTATTCCCGAGGACCCGGAGTTCTGGCTGGCCCAAGTGGAGGCTCAGTTTAAGCTAGCTAGGGTGACTAACCAGCTAGCCAAGTTTACGCATCTTGTGGGTCAGCTCCCGAGATCTATGGCCCCGGGTCTACGCGACATAGTGTGCAACCCCCCACCAGATCGACCTTACGACGGCCTCCGCAATGTGATCTTGGGCAGATTTGGCATGCCCGCAGAATGCCGCCTTAAACAACTTTTAGGTGGCCTGCGTCTGGGGGACAACGGCCTCGACACTCCCGCAAAACGTTTAAGTTACATACAAGGCCAGGCCGCAAGCCTGAACGTCGAAGAAAATATCCTCCGTTTGTCATGTCTACAAGCTCTACCAAAGAGCTTGTAGTCAATCCTACAGTACTTCGGACAACACTATACCTTAATGGAACTCGCCGAAATGGCTGACAGGGTATATGCTGACCAGCTGTCCGTCCAAACTTTCACCCAACCAGCGCAGCCAACGCCCTCCTGCGAAAACGCTGAACTTGTAGCATGTGTAAAAGCGTTAGTTACGCAAGTTCAGGCGTTAACCATATCACGCGACCGCCCGTGATAACGACGTCGCTCGCGCTCCAACTACCGGAGCAGCAGCCCCCGGCGTCCTCGTTCTCGTTCGCCGTCGAATGGTGTTTGCTGCCATCACCGTCGTTACGGTGACGCCGCAAAAAGGTGTCTTAAACCATGCACCTACAAACCCAGGGAGGGAAACTAGTCAGCCAGGCCCAGGCGACGACCGTGTCCGGCTCGCCACAACCCAGTCGCCTGTTTCTCGTCACAGA